CCCCCCCAATATTTATAACTTATTCAATTTATGTATGTATATATTTTCTTTTGTGGAAATAAAAAACTGTTGTAACTGTTGTTGTAAATACATCTGCAAATGGTCAGACTTTCAAGTCTTCTCGGAGGAGGACTTAAAGCTGTAGGCCCCGTTTGTCTTCACTATAGACCCCTCGACTGATTCCGAGAGGAATTATTCTGGGGGACAAAACCATGGATTTGTTTTGCATAAGAAGATACGGCCTATTGTTTGTCCCCAGAAAAATTCCTCTAGGAAATGAATGCAAGGGGTCTATATGACCCTGTACTTGATAAGTTGGACGTAAAGAAAATCCACTAAAGTCGCTGGTAACAACCACCTTAGTGTCTGTACCCACATTACAGGGCCTACGGTAATCGCCCACGTTTTATTTAATGATTACTTTTTGACCAGGAGTCTCCTCCACATCGCCGTCGAAGCCACAGTCGTTCACCCGAAGATCTTTCTAGAAGAAAATATCGCGACCATGATAGACCCCGACGTCGAAGCCGATCACCCCACAGGTAACTGTAATAAAATGATCTACAATCAATTATCACCCCACGGGTAACTGTAATAAAATGATCTACAATCAATTGAACTTCAAGAAGGTGAAGCCGTTTCCTTTCGGATGGCCCTTTTCATTTCAAAACGGAAAGAATTATCTGCACAAAGAATTCTTTTTCTCCTTAGTGATTGTCAGGCTAGGCTTGTTATATAGCAAATTCTAAAGTTCAATAAAAAAACTTAAAAAAGAAAGAAACAAGTGAAAACAGAAAAACCCAAGAGAACAAACAAATACAACAAACGAATACAAAAAAAAAGAAAAAGAAAAACAACAAAACAACGACAACAACGAAAACAAACAAAAAACAAACAAACAAAACGAAACAAAAAATACGAAAACAATCGACAAATACAAAACAAAATAACCTAATACTTCGTTTTCATGTTACGTCATCTGGTGGACTGTAACAAAAGACTTCCCATTAGGTCCTTTGGTGCCTGTCCACCAGCATGGCTGACATGTCTTTGTCTTTTGATCCTCGTGTGAATGGTTGAAAACCACCAATAGGCTTATTACTGACTTATGTACGAATTTTCCTCTGTTTCTTAGACGTAGCCGTTCTCGAAGTCGCTCTCCGAGGCGCAGGCGAAGAAGGTAGGAACGGCGCATTAATGATAATTCAAATCATTTTTTAAACGAAAGATAAAAGGAAAATAATGAAATAAATTATATCATTTCATTTTTTATTTACTTAGTCCATCGCCACGAAGAAGACGTCGAACTCCATCGCCACATCATCGTAGGCACAAAAGTCGGAGTCGTTCCCGTTCGCCTCGTCGTCGGCATTCCCGATCCCGCTCGAGATCGCGTTCGCCTCGTCGTCGTCATCGTTCCCGTTCTCGATCAAATACTCCCGAAAAGTCTTCAAAACACAAGAAATCGAAAAAGGATAAAAGTGACAAGAAAGAAAAGAAGAGACACGACGATGAAGGAACGAGTAAAGAAAGTCTTGAAATCAAGGAAGCTAATGAACTGAGGGCTAGTCTAGGTCTAAAGCCGCTCAAATAAATGCCTTCACAGATATCTTCGCGATAGCTAAGACAACGTTACATAATAGGCCCTTTGCAGCTAAGCAATCACGTGCTGATCAATTCACTGAGAGCAAATGAATGAACATTTTGATTCCCATGGGTGAAATTTACTGGACTGCAAACAAACTTTCTACAACCGGTTTCGAGATAATAAAACTATATTTCGTAAAACACATGTTTTCATTCAGTTCTTTACAAGTAGCTAAAAAGAATCACCAATGTAATGTAAAAACAAAAAATTTGCATTCCAGTACAGACACGTAACCGTTAACTGCAAAGGGCCTATTTACTACGCATGTCCGGAAAATGCAAGAATACTGCAAATGTGTAAAATTGTTGTTTTATAGTGTTTCTTAATAAAACGCGCAGAATCATCGTAGGCCAAATAGGTTTTGAGGGACGTCAATCGAGTCGTTTATGTGACACGTGACCTTCAAAACTTTGTCTCGATGTTGCGCGTACGATTGGGAAGCACTTCATTACTGCCATTTTTCAACTGACGATATTTTACCATATATTTTCTTTTTGTACTTCTTTTAAATGAAGATTTTTAAGGTCTTCACTATTTTGTTCGCATAAGGGCTCGAGAGAAGCTCCAGTGTTGGCAATAGATAGTCGAATGTCGTTCATTAATTTTTCGGGCATGCGCAGTAGGCTCTTAGCTAATGACGATAAAGACCATTACGATCTTGAAGAGACCATTAACGACCACTTCAGAAAACTGAAGTCTAGTGTCACTTGCGTGTTTTTAATGTAGCTGTATCATTCCAGTAAGAATATAAAAGTATCTATAAGTTGTTTGGTGGATTTGTTTGATGTAGAATAGTTCTTGTATGGGCGGGAAACGTACGCTAGAGTAAATGTACAACTTCGCTTCACTAGTCTCCTACACAATCACTATTACTGTCGTCACGTAACGCGTAATAAGAGCTATGTATCTGATTTTCCGGAAGTCTAGTACGGTGCGCGCGCCCGATTTTGCTTTTGTTGTAGCCCTCTCCATCGGCCCCCTTCGTTTGATGGCTTCGTTCGCGGAAATGAAATAGGCTATTTTTGTTGAGCTACCTTCGTTCAAATAACTTTAGCTGGATCTAATGACGAAAACCTTTTCCTAAACATTTTTTTCCCTCWTAAGATACTTTCGATTGCAAGATACGATGCAATTTTTGAGTTTGTTTGCCATCCAGCAGAGCCTTCCCCTAGGGGTCTTTGGCATGCGATAAATTATCACATGGCTGTTTGTTAAGTTTGGGCTCCCTGTGTGAGAACAATAAAGTGAATCCAACATGGCGGTCGTCAAGTCACCGAATGATCCTCGAGATTACAGGTTAATATCTCTAGTTAGAAATCCTTAATTCAATCAAAACTAACTTGTATTTTGTATAAAACGTATTTGTTTTCTTATCTTAAGTCTGATTTACAGTATCTTTTCTCTATTATAATTATTTTTTTTACACACGCTGGTCAACGTGACCGGAATCCATTAAAAGTCTCAAAACGAAAGAGCAACAAATATTAGTTATCTAACGGACGAGGAATACAAATGTAGTTGCTGGACTGATAGACAAAAAGGTCAATCAAAATTGATCTCTTCCATGGAAGTCGTTTTTCAGACCTGATCGATACCTTTTCAAAATTTTATTGAATTGCAAAAAAAAAAAAGAAAAAAAAAAAGAATTTTGCTTAATTAGAGCTTTTACTGCCAGCCGAGTCTCTCGCCTTGGCGATATTCTGCCAAGAATCGTTAACGAGGAAGACTCTGCTACCAGGGAAATTAAAACTTGATTAATTAGTTGTCATATAAAATTTTGATCGGTCGATTAGTTATGTATTCATAAGTGAAAACGGCTTATAAAGATTGTTTGGAAGCATGACTGTTGTGCGCCTCTCAACGATCATCACGTGCGATTGCCATACTTCAATGGTAGCATATGTCTTATACACGGGGTTGATTCTTGGGTATCCAGTGTTCTTCAATAGCCATAATTTAAACTAGTGAATTCTCACTTTGTCTTATATGCACTATTTTCTTCCTTACCTTTAAATCAACTACTAAATTCCTTTTTTTTTTTGACCTGGTATTGAAAGATTAAGCTTAATAATTTGACATGTAGAACAGTATCTTCACACTATTCAGCATTAATGCACCAGTCAAAGTAAACCCCCTCCCCCCCCCCCCCCCCCCCCC